TTTACTTTGAAAAACTAAAAGAATTAGAACATTTAAAATTGAACTTTAAATGAAATCCAAATATCACCTTTATTTTGATTCTTAAATGTCATTTTTATTAATCAAAAATATAAGTAAATCATTTTCTTCTTGATGAATAATGGAAAAAACTTGGCTTTTCTATGACCAGTGAAAAGTATTTTGTGAATTGCCCAGTAAATGCTTCACTTTAACATTTTTTCTTTATCCTTTTTTCCCAAATTGTCTTAATGATTTTACATTTGTTTATAACTTTATAATGTATTTAAGTTCATTTTTCAAGTATTCCTTTTAATGTATTCACTTTAGATATGTGACAACAGTAACATCATGGTGCAGGAGACTGTTCCAGACTAGTCCCAGGGAGATGCCCACTCATTCGTCATCTTCTGTTCTCCAAGAAAATTGGTATTTTTATTTTAAACTGAATCTGTTTAGAAGATCCAATACTTTAAAAAAATTAAAGTGTCAAATGGTAAACTGAGACTTTTTTCAGACTAGTCCCAGAGAGATACCCACTCATTTGTCATCGTCTGTTCTCCAAGAAAATTGGTATTTTTCTTTTAAGCTGAATCTGTTTAGAAGACCTAATACTTTTAAAAAATTAAAATTGTCAAATGGTAAACTGAGAGTTTTTTCCCCAAAAAATTTTTCTTAGTTTTGAATATGTTTAACTCCTAAAGTATTTTTGATAGCCTAAGCTTGAAAATAATTTATTTCTAATCAGACTTCTAATTTATTACATTTCATCATATTCTATTTTACCTAAAGGTAAGAAAACCTTTGTTTGAAAACTTAACATGAAAATGAGTGGCTCTTTTTATGTGACAAATTCATCCCGAAAACTTCATGGAAAAATTTAAAGGGGATTCTTAAATTTTTAGTAATGTTAAAGGAAATAAAAGGTTTAATAACATAAGCTTTCAGAAAAAAATTGATTTTTAAATAATTTCTGTCATATTAGTTACTTCCCCCAAATTAACTGGCCAATCAAATAAAGCAAGTATTTTAGTCCATCCTGTGTGCTTTTCAGTGTGCAGGGTACTAGAACTGAGCTTCATAGGAACTTTTTGTGAAAATATAAGATAGAAAATATAGGAAGAAAGGTCATTAGAAGATTAGTGTCACTGAGAGTCTAACCTGAATATATTGGAAGACAGGGATATCAGGAACAATTTAGGAAGCTTTTTAAGTAAGTTTTGTGAGGTGACCTAACATAGTGTAGTGAAACAAAACGTAAACATTAAGCCTATTTTTGTTACCTTTTCCTAAGTCATTTCTTAGAACAAATCAAATCATATCAGTAAGTGTTATTTGAGTATCTCAGGTATCTAAGGATCCAGCTTTGCAGATCCCTCATCCTTTAGCTGTAGCCTGTTTGGAAGCAGAAAAGGTGCTAAAGTAACTAGCAAAAAAAACAGTTGTGATGGAAGGAAAATTGTACTTGTCTATAAAACTGGGCCGGGCGCGGTGGCTCAAGCCTGTAATCCCAGCACTTTGGGAGGCCGAGACGGGTGGATCACGAGGTCAGAAGATCGAGACCATCCTGGCGAACACGGTGAAACCCCGTCTCTACTAAAAAATACAAAAAACTAGCCGGGCGAGATGGCGGGCGCCTGTAGTCCCAGTTACTTGGGAGGCTGAGGCAGGAGAATGGCGTGAACCCGGGAGGCGGAGCTTGCAGTGAGCTGAGATCCGGCCACTGCACTCCAGCCCGGGCTACAGAGCCGAGACTCCGTCTCAAAAAAAAAAAAAAAAAAACTTGGATCTCCCATACGATCCATTCCCAAAGAGTTCCATATAAACGAGGTATTAATATATGCACAAGTACAGAAAAATAAAAAATCCTTTCTTCTGAGAGAAACAATCTAGGTAGGAAAAGCAGGAAGTTAAATAGTTCAAGAGAAGAGATTACAAATAAGTATGTGATTAATTAATATGCTATAGGAATTCAAAGAAGGAGAAAGCATTTCTTTCACAGAAGGAATGGGATTTTAATAGGTTTTTAAAGTTTGAGTAAACTTTAGGGAGGAAAGTAGAGTATATGGTAGGTTAGTACTAAGAAGTAGCAGGAAGGCCCATTATCTTCAAACGTCAGTATTTGATTATAAATTCCTTGAAGTGGATTTACAAGGGGTAGACTTTTATTCACTTAGCTTTAAAGGCACTCAGTAAGTATCAGTTGAGTCAAGTTGATTTGTTGCTAAATAAAGGTAACATAAAGAGAATTTTTCTGTGTTCTTCCGTTTAAAATTCTAACCTTTATGAAAAAAAAAAAGTCAGGTATGCTTATTTGAAATATCATGAATACAAAGGAATCAGACAACTTTTTTTTTTTCCTTGGACAGGTCTGTTGCTTCTGAACTTGAAAAGATACAGAAGTTTAACTGTATCCTTTAAACAGAATGCACTGTCCTACATAATTACTCTCTTTCATTCTAGGCTTAATTCATGACTTCAGTACTTTGTGAATATTAATCTATACTTAATATATTGCTAACCTTTATTGAGTAAGCAAATACTTAAGATTGTAATTTAAGATGGATCTTGTCCATAGAAGGTATAGCATGTTAACATTTTTCTTGAGTTTAAATTGGATAAAGAACAGTTAATTAGGGTTAAGGTCTCCTTTGGAAACTTTTTCACTTACATAATTATAAAATTATAGCTGTATAAGACCTCTTTTTTTTTAATGAAATATTTCATTCTGTACATTCTCACCCAATTCATCTAAATTTGTTTTCTCTTGTGATTTTGCTCTAATCTTATTCAAATAAGTTCTGTAATGAACAGGTTTTTCACTCTAAATCTTTTAAAATTAAAAATAGACACTACACAGATTCCTTATAATCCTATCATCCTACTCTTTAATTCCCATATCATTTCCTCATTTAAAGAAATGTTACTGAGATTTTCATTATTTCCTCCTTAGCACCAAACCTCCATCCAAACACACACATACACTCTCTGTTCTCTTTCCCCCTCCTTTAGACTCTAACTAGTTTCTTCATTTACAAGGAGCAGACTTGATAAGCCTTGCAGTTCTAACTCTATTATGAATCCAAGAGGTCTTCCAACTGAGAAATATTCAATATGAAGGCTATGCTTTCTGAATATAAAGATATTTATATAATGAAACATGTGAGGAAAACCCCCTTAACTAAGCAACTTAGTGCTACTAGAGAATAGTGGTATCCTAAACCAGATTTCTAACAAGAAAAATGAACAGTCTTCTGATCATTATAAACCGGGATCTTCAGAAACCTTGCTAGGAGAAGTTAATGAAAACCGAGTATCAATAGCATTGAAAAAAACCTCTGAAATCCTTCACGATATTGACTGTCTTCTATCAAACTCTAAAAAGTGAAAAATGGAATTATTACAACATATTATTAAAAGTTTTAAGGATGTTGTTTCAAGTGACTGGTATAAAATTACTAGTAAGCCAAGATATTGTACGTATTACCCCTACACAATGATTGTGAAAGAACTGACATTTAACTTTGAAGGTATTTTTATTTAATTTGTACATTTTTAAAATATGTATTTGTATTTTATTAATAAATAACTATCTTGAAATTTTGAACTGTTTCACATTTAATTCTTATTTCAGATTTATGAGAAAAAAATTTGTAATGTTATAAAGTTGTTGCTGTTTTTATCTTGTGGAGCATTCACTATTAATCTTCCGGTTTGTTCATTTTGTTTGTTTTTATTGTTGACATATGGTCTTGCTCTGTCACCCAGGCTGCAATGCAGTCGTGCAATCATAGCTCACTGCAGCCTTGAACTTGTGGGCTCATGGGATCTTCCCACCTCAGCCTCCCGAGTAGCTGGAACCACAGACATGCACCACCACACCTGGCTAATTTTTAAAAATATTCTTTGTAGAGACGGGAATCTCCCTATCTTGCCCAGGCTGGTCTTGAACTCATGGCTTCAAACTATCCTCCTACCTCCATTTCCCAAAATGACAGGATTACAGGTGTGAGCCACTGCACCCGGCCTCTTTTTTTTTAATATGCAGAATTGTGCATTTTTTCACTTGCTATTTGGTCCCTTTACTCCAAGTATTTTTCAATAGAGCTATGAGACAAGAACCAGATCTGAAAAAAACAGAGACAAGCAACATTGTAAACTAAAAATCAGGCACTTTGGCAAACACTGTATCTAAACTGTCTCATGAACCAGATACTTTCTTTTGAACACAGGAAAAGATTTATGCTGTAAAGTGTTTAACAGAAATGAGCTCACCAAAAGTGCTATTATAAGCTTGTCTATTAGGAAAGAACAAAACCACATATCTGTAAAGACGTCAAGATTACACCAAACACAACCAGAAATGTTCTAATTTTCCGATTTGTATAAAAGACCTGGCTTTTCAAATGAAAGGGAAGCAGTAACAGAGAAAATGAGAAAAATGGGGAGAAGAGTGTAGATCAGGAATCATAATCTCACTAAGTTAAAGGGGCACAATGCCTTTTTTTTAGTTCCTCTGACACTGGATTCCTTCACATTTCAATTCTGAAGTACCATTTCCTCATAAGGGCCTCCCATACTACCTGACTAAAGTTAGCGTCTCCCAAGTCTATTATATCACCCCACTTACTTCCTTTACAGTACTTATTACAATCTGTCTACCTTGTTTCCTTATGGCTCACACCCTCCACTAGAACTTGAGTTCCATAGTCATTCTGTGGCACACTAAGAACACTGTATAAATGAATCAGTAAGCTGGGCACAGTGGCTCACGCCTGTAATCCCAACACTTTGAGAAGCCAGGGAGGGGGTATCACTTGAGCCCAGGACTTCAACACCAGCCTGGGCAACATAAGCGAGATGCCCATCTCTACAAAAAACTTAATTACCTTCACGATGGCATGTGCCTGTGGTCCCACCTACTCCAAAGGCTGAGGCTGGAGAATCCCTTGAGCCCAGGTCAGGGCTGCAGTGAGCTATGATTGCACCACTGCACTCCAGCCTGGGTGACAGAGGGAGACCCTATCTCAAAAAAAAAAAAAAAAGAAAGAAAGAAATGAATAAGCATCTACAGGCAGTAGACTGACTACAGAGAAAAGAACTATTATTACATTGTCTGGGTTTGCATGAAGCCATCTACGTTGTTCCTCAATAGCTCCGTAAGGCCTAGATTGTAAGACTTGTACCACACTGCCAAAAGGGTAATGCCAAATTACTGCATTCAGAAAGAGAAAATTTGTCCTTAACATGGCTAAAAGTACTCAAAATTGTAAATACATTTGCTGAGAAATACTTTAAATTCTCATTTAAGTTATGTGGGGGTTAAAATGTGTTTAATTTTCCCTGCCAGTTGGGTCTTTTACATTGGCTAAGAACCAAGAGTGTGACAAGAAATGAGTTCTATGATTGAGAAACTCTGAGATTCTGGGGGTGGCCTAGGAGTTTGCTTTGAGACTGAAGTTTATTTTCTATGGTCAACTATATAATTACGATGATACCACCCCTTGCTTTCCATCTGACACTTGGTTTGAGAAACTGTAAGTAGGAAAGGGAAAGAAGAATGTCCCTCCTTGGGCCTCTTCTTTTGGACCCGTGCACGCTTCCTAGAGTCAAACGTCAAGCTGGTATTTCCTTGCTGCTAAGAGAGCAACCACTACTCTGAGGCAGAGACGGGATGGGACCTAGCCAAAGTCCCAGTAAACAAACTGTATCTTGTAAGCGCGATTTAATTAGGGTCAAACTACTCTGTATGGACTTGCTTTTTCGACTTCTAAGGATTTAGTAGTCATGATTAAGTGTTCTAGTCACGCTACTGCGGTGTACAAACAGTAGCTCCACAACATCCGCCCACATCGTGGCAACGAATTATCAAGAAATCCCCAAGGGGGCGGTGAGGCGCTAAGCGACCGGTCAGCCAGGTCGCGAGGTCCCAGTCTGGTGAAAAGCTCCGTTGCCCACCCTGAGAGGTTCGCGGAAGGAAGTTGGCAGTATCGCTGCACCTTCGAGACGCGACGGCCGAGGCTCCTAGCTCAAGCTTCTGACAGTAAGGCCTGTATGCCTTGCATTCGGGGAGGCCACTTCTCAGTCACCAGCTTTCTGGCCACCACTTGGGTGCGTCGTAGGGATGTCGGCAGCTACGTTTGCCGCACGGCTCCGACTAAACTGAAAAACGAATCCTCAAGTTTGACAAAAGTAAACTAAGAAGGCACTTTCCTCCTCTCACCCTGACGTCCCAAAAGTTTCCTTTTTAGGGGTCAGGGCCTACGGTGGGCGAGGAGAAACGAGGTATCTACCCACTGCACCAAACTACTCGTACGTCACCTCCTTTCGACTTGGAGCGGGCCAGTATCCCGGCGTCCTCTCGGCTGACGCTGCGGTCTGAAGCCACTCTGGCCTGCAGCCGACGTCTCTATGGTTCCGACCGAGGGGAGGAGGAGAGGGGCGGGGCCGCTGCTCGAGCTGCTGCTTGTTTGAACTCAGAGAACCTGGGGTGGGTACGGCTGAGCCGCTGCGAGGGACTGAGGGGAGGGGGTGGGGTGGAAGCCGCGGAACTGCGTCCTGAGGTGGGAGACCGGAGGTGGAGACCACCGAGTCTGATGTCTGGAGGGTCCTTTTGCGGGTCGGAGGGCGTGCTGGAACAGCCGGCACGCGGGAGCCAGGAGTCCGCTGGGTGCGTGTGACCCACGAGCTGGCACTGTCCCGCGGCCCTGGGGTCTGCGAGGAGCCCTGGCGCCGCCTTCCGGCTTCGCTCTTTTTTAGATACCTAGAACCCCAGCCCGCCGCCTTGGCTCCGCGCCCCTGGCCTTTTTCTGGCCCAGGGTAGGGTTCCGCGAGTCTTGCAGGAGGAGCCCATTGCAGTCCTTAACCGGTTGTAAGAGCCTTTCGCGCCCCGGAGCCCTTGAGGCTTGAATGCTGAAAGTGTGACATGGTCCCTTCCCTGCAGCCTGGCCCATATTTTTAAAATGACATTTAAAAAATTATTGCATCACACCAGACTCAGAAAAGGATGTCTGGGAACTTCTGAGGCTTGAAACATGTTGAAATACAGAATTTCGTTTTATTCGTAGTGGGCATAGGAACTAAACATTTTAAGTGCAGACATCTAATGGCTATAAAAAGTTTCAGTGAAAGTAAGCAAGATTTGTGTTTCCTTTCTTTGTCAGTTGCATCAGATTTGGCATCTGCTTTTGATATTTTTCCATTAAAGAAATTAAATATATTAAGTTTACAACAACTACAGTTAAGTGAAGAGGTCTTACTGGTAAAGCATAATAAAGGCGGTTTCAGGAATTTGGACCGTGTTTTGACCTTAGGTTTTTGCATATAACGTGTCAGGTTGGTGGGGAGGAGGGAAAGTTAAAACAGATGACATTTACTTAGAGAATGTATCAGCTCTTATTTGTTTTGACAGAAATAATGTCTAAGAGATTATTAGCAAACAATACATGATATCGTATAATTAAAGTGACCAGCTAATCATATGTTTGTGGAATTCAGGAAGGAGAAAAGTACTGCTATATATACTCTGAAGGCCCCAAAGTTAGTGGTATTTGCTCTATGGGGGATGGGGTGTGACAAAGTTTGGCCATTGCAGAAAGTGACTTCTGCGAGTCATAAGGAGGAATTTATAATATGTCAGTTATGTCAGAGAAGTCATCCCAAACAGCATATTTAGTTCATAGGCTGAGGATTTATTATGTGATTACCCCTTGTATTAGTAAAATGGAATATTTATTAAATACCTTGAGCACATTGGATTTTAAGCATGACAAGTTTAAAAGAGATCACTACTCATAAGGAACATTCTCAACAAAAATGAATATGTAAAATAAACTTAAAGCTTATGAATTTAGGAGGTTCGAGAGTCCGTTTTATTTGTAGGGGGAGGAATAGGAAGTGGAAAAGGAAATAAGTTTAAGAAGAAAAATGGGTACGCTTAGGTGTATTTTTCAGAGACAATAAGTAATACAGGAAGAACACTTAGTAAATTTCTCTTTTTCTAATACTCAGAATCTAAGCCAGATGCTAAATATCTGCACCAAAAGTTGTAGTAGAATAGATGCCAGAAATGTGGGGTTCTGGAGCTGCAATTATACCTTCCTTAAAAATAGAAATAGTAGTCTTCTACTACATATCTATTCTGTAATAAATTACACCAAAATTTAGAGGCTTAAAACAGTAGACAATAGGGGCCGGCTCACGCCTGTAATCCCAGCACTTTGGGAGGCCGAGGCGGGCAGATCACGAGGTCAGGAGATCGAGACCATCCTGGCCAACACGGTGAAACCCCATCTCTACTAAAAATACAAAAAATTAGCCAGGCGTGGTGGCGGGCGCCTGTAGTCCCAGCTACTCGGGAGGCTGAGGCAGGAGAAGGGCGTGAACAGGGGAGGCAGAGCTTGCAGTGAGCCGAGATCATGCCACTGCACTCCAGCCTGCGTGACAGAGCCAGACTCCATCTCACACGCACACACAAAACAAAGTAGACAATAATTTTATTCTTTCTGCGAGGTCAAGACTTAGCTGGCAGTTCTGGCCAAGGGTCTCATGAAGTTGCAGTCAGGATGTCGGCAGTGGCTGCAGACATCTGAAGGGTTGACTGGGGCTGAAGGATCTGCTTGCAAGTTCACTGTGAGCTTTTTCCTTCCTCTTTCATCAGCAAGCTGTTTTGTACTTTCCATTGATAAAATGCATTCACATTATACCCATTATGTATAATATATGTGTTCCTATTTGTAAATCGTGATACAGTTATTTGTAAACAGTAAATTTTGCTTGTTGAGGTCGCTTTAAATTTGGATCATCATGTAAATACTTCAAGTAATCTTTTGATTTTTCACTTTGCTCATGATACTTTATTAGCAAACTAATCTTTTTAAAATCTGAACTCATCGTGTAAAATGTAGGGTTAGTAGGTTCGGTGTGGTAGTTTATGCCTATAGTCCCAGCACTTTGGGAGGCCAAGGTGGAAGGATCACTTGAGGCCAGGAGTTGAAGACCAGCCTGGGCAACACAGTGAGACCCCATCTCTACAAAACACTTTAAAAACAAAAATTTAGCCAAGTATAGTTGTGCATTTCTATAGTCCTAGCTACACAGGAGGCTGAAGCAGGAGCCCATGAATTCAAGGTTACAGTGAGCTATGATCATGTCACTATGCTTCAGCTTGGGCAACAGAGATACCTTGTCAAAAAAAAAAAAAAAAGGTTATCAACATTTAAATATATATTGTGATTATTAAAAATTGCTTCGTGAGGGAAAGAAAATATAATGCACTGGCTTTATAAGGACGTCATGAAATTTGCAGTTAAGTGGATATTGGCTTTTTATTTTTGTCTTCCTTCTGGAATGAGGGTTGAAAATAAATTGGTAATTAGGTCAGGCTCAGTGGCTCACTCCTGTAATCCCAGTGCTTTGGGATGCTGAGACAGGAGGAACACTTGAGACCAGGAGTTTGAGACCAGCCTGGACAACATAGAGGGACCCTGTCTCTTCAAAAAAGGAAAAAAGAAAAAATTACCCAAGCTTGGTGGCACTTGCCTGTAGTCCCAGCTACCCAGGAGGCTGAGTCAGGAGAATTGCTTGAGTGTAGGAGTTAGAGGCTAAAGTGAGGTACGACCTTACTCACTCCAGCCTGGGCGACAGAGCAAGACTTTGTCTCTAAAAAAAGAAAAGAAAATTTGTGATTATATATAAACAAAGGTTGAGTGGCAGCAGAGCTTTTGTGTTAGGCATCTGTGTACTCTGTGTCCAGCCTAGGTTTTTCTCATACCTTAATGGCCTTCTTTCTCCTTAGGGCTAACTTACAGGCCATACTTTACTGAAGGAGGGGAATATTGCTGCTGCTGCTGCTGCTGCTGCTCTGGGTTGGCCATTAATTCAAGTTTTCAGTATCCCACTTTCAGTCCAGCTAAGTGGATAAGGGCATTTATTTTTAGTTGAAAGGGACATTTTATCAACTTTAAAGTTATATGCATTAAATATTTAAATATGTTGACTTCTTTCTCCATTCAGGTGTTGAATGTTTGTTTTCTAAAGGAGACAGTGGTTCATAATTTGTGACACTATAAATCCTGAGGTTTATAGAAAGGATTCATGACTTTGTAATGGAGGTGTCTTTTGCATTTTTTGTATTTTGGTCACATCTCTTGGTTGAGAGTACCTGGAAATCAGTATTTCCAGATCCTGGAAGAATCTATAGAAAATAATCCATCTTAATGCTTTAGATAACAATTTTCATTATTGCAAATAATCAAGAATGAGCATCGTTGTAGACTCCATTATCATTTAAAAAATAGTTGTTATCTGCAAAGTAAGTATGCTTCACATAAGGAATCTGCGTAAGTTGTTTCTTGTGTCCATTATTACATAACTGAACAAATTGTTTTTATATTATACAATAAATTTGATTAATGAGATTGGATGTAATTTTATTAATACCAATTAGTGTTATATATTTAATGTATTTATTAATATATATGTTATAAATTTTTTATTACCTTTTTAAAATTATGCTTTTAAGAGGCTGACTTTAACGACCAAATATAAGTTGTTTAATTACTTCTGGCTTTAACTTTTCAAAGTAGCTTTATTGGTTTTATGGTCATAAGACATTGAAATTTTTCAAAAATTCAAAAAAGGAAAAAAAGTAGTGATTACATTTGTAAGCCCACCACTGAGAAACAAACCAAATGAACAGCCTTCCAGATTTTTTAATAGACCTGTATATATATTTTTTAACAAAAATGTAATTTTTTACATATTATTTTATAGGCTATCTTTTAAAATTTAATACTTACTGAACATCTTTCTGTGTCAGTAAATATGAGAATAAGTATTTTTAATGGCTGCATATTTGTGGAATTTATTTCACTAGAGCCATATTTCAGACATATATATTGTTTTAAATTTTTTCTTGTAAACAGTGCTATGCTGAACATCCATATATAGTTGTTTGTATTTATCTAATTATTTCCTTATTTTCCTAGAATTGGAAATGTAGCATCAAAGTGTTTGCTTATTTTTTGTGGTTTTTGATACATA